GTCAGTCTGGCAGTGGGTAGCTACTGGGTTAGGGAGGGATGGACCTCTAGGGAAGCCTGTGTTGTGCCCATCTCGTTCCTCTGTTGTGGTATGTTGTCTGAGTGTAGCTCTACTCAAGATGCCTGCTGTCTGGGCCTTGCTCAACAGCCCTCAATGCTGGCTGGAGGAAGAATGCCTGAACTCACTTATCCCCATGGTAGTCTGTCCTGTTGGTTACAGAGACCTGAAGTAGGAGGTGACTAGAAGGGAGAGGCACTCTTCTGCTCTGATTGGACTCTTTGGGAGGCATCCTCTTTGCTGTCAGTCTTCTAGGTAGGTTGTTGGCTCTGACTACAGCCTCCACTGAAGATGCTTATTTCCTAGACCATTGCAAATCCAGACCCTTGTCCTCCATGTCAACTGGAAAGGAGGACAGAAAGAGCCAACTCACCTCCTGGGAGATCTGTTTTGTTGTTTGGGGGGCCTGAGCTGGTGCTACTTGTGGGAACAAACTACACTGTAAAGGACCTTCTGTAGCAATGTACGTATGGCAGCCTGGCAACCAACAGACCTGGGAAACGGATGGAGTACTATGCTCCAGTTGGATCCTCTCAGAGGTCTCCCCAGTAGGGAGTGCCCCCTCAAGATGCCTGTTTCTTAGCACCCAGCAACCTCAGCCAGCGGTCTTTAGCACTGGCTGGAAATGGGAGCTGACTAACTTGAATTGACACCCAGTGGCATCGGTCCTGTTGGTTTCAGAAGGCGCAGGGAGGAAGTGGAGTGCTGATTGGGAGAGCAGACCTCACTGCAGTACACCTGTACCATTTAGCAGCAGTCTTGAAGTTGACTGTAGCTGGTTCTGTCATGCTTCAAATGCCCCTTTTTGCAACCGGAGGCCCCCTCTCCCCTCTGTTGGCTGTGGGTTAGCCTCCACTCCACTGCTTCCTCAGGCAACAGCCTCAGGCAACACAGTCCTAAGTGTTGCTGACCTGAAGAGGGAGCAGACAGACCTGAACTAACACCCACAGCAGTCTGCCCTCAACTATGGGCTGTGCAGGGAGGCCCGTCAGATGTTTTCTATGTAGGTTTCTTTAGCAATTTGCTGAAGTTTTGCAGTCGACAACAATGCCAGCTTTTTAGGTGGGGAAGGTGCTGGCTCACTCTAAAGGAAATTCCCCTGGGAGATCTGTCTTGTAGATTTTAGAGCAGAAGCTTAGATCCTGTTTACACACAGAGATTGGTGGTTGGGCTCTTTTGCAGAGGTTCCTCCCCCAGGTCACAGCAGTTGCCTGAGTGGCTTAGGCTGAGATGTGGGATCAGTGGGAGAAGTGATTTTCTTACAGTCATTGATCTTGCATATCTGTAGCTCCACACTGCTCTTCTCTGCTCCTAATTGAGTCACTTAAGGTTCAGCACCATTTTCCTGTTGCATTTGTCGGGGAGGGTTGGAATGATATTCTGTAAATGCCACCATCTTCCCAGTGTACTCTGAAATCACTCATTTGGAACAAAAGTTAATGTTTTGTGTTCATGTTCTTGGTTTTAGGTTCTTTTGGGATCCTTTAGGCCTTTTGAATTAGTTCAAGAGTTCATATGAGAAATGTTACAATATTACTCCAAAATGTTAGTATACTTAAAACGAGCTGTTCGTCATGTTGGTGCAAATGCAAACATTTCAGATGCTATACCAGCAGCTAGCCGCCCCCCGCCTCTTGACATTTGGACACAGTGTTCAGAGAGCATGAGGAAATGGTAATCTGTTGAGAAGCGTGACCAGTTTCATGTTAGACTAATTCCAAACATGACATTGGTAATTTTGATAAGTATTTTACTTATTCTTAGTTTAAAAATAAAACTTTAAAAGTGTGTCTGTGAAATTCTTTAGGGGTGACTATTTTTTAAAAAAGATCTTAATAATTACAGATTTAAGAGCTGTTTATTAGAGACAACTAATGAGGAAAATGGAGTCTTAGTGTGGCACTATGGGTTAATGTGCTAGACTGCAATGTTGGTTTGCACCACAGGTCAGTGGTTCAAACTCACCAGCTACTCCTTGGAAACCCTACACAGGGTCGCTATGGGACAGAACCAACTTGTCGGTGCTTAATATCAGCAACAACAATGAAGAAAAATTAAATAACCCTGTATTTAGGGAATGGAGCCCTGGTGTAGCACTGTAGGATAAACACTGGACTACTAACTGCTGAGTTGGCTGGTAAAGCCCACTAGCCGTTCCTCAGAAACCCTATACAGGATCACTGTGAGTTGGAATTGACTTGATGGCAACAAAGTGTTTAGAGACGATTTCTACCTACTAAGAATTCTCAGTAAGAAAAATGTAAAAAGCATGTTGTTTTCTGCTTGTATGAATGTATTGACGAATGTGTGTATAACAACACACATACTTACAGGGCGCTATTTTAAAAGATGTCTTCTTTGCTAGTTTATTTTTTTGTTTCTTAAATTCATTATGTGGTTTCACAAAGTTATATTATTTCTATTACTGGAAAGCATGTGTTAAGACCAAAACCTAAATGTTGTCATTGTGGTTTTTAAGCGCCATCAAATCAGTTCCGACTCATACATAGCAACCCTGTATAGGATTTCCAATGTAATTCTTTACAGCAACAGAAAACGTTACATTTCTCCTGTGGAGCTACTTCTGGACTTGAACTGCCAATCTTATCCTTCAGAACCATAGTGCTCCCCAAGCTCAATGCTGTAGTTTGTTAGTGCTCTCAGGTGTTCCAACTCAAAGCGACTCTGTATAGGGTTTCCAGGATTCCCAGTATGACACTGTAGGGTAAGCACTGGAATGCAAACTACAAGGTCAATGGTTCCAGCTCACCAACTGCTCCTCAGAAATCCTATATAGGGTCCCTATGAGTCGGTATCAACTCAGTGGCACTTAACAACAGTAGGATTTCCAAGACTTTTTAAATCTTCGTGGGAGCAAAAAGCCTCAGCTTTCTCCCACTGAGTGACTGATGGGCTTGAACCTCGAACCGCTGACCTTGCATTTCAACACGGTAACTCACAGATCCACCCCAAAATCCAATAGTTATCATAAATATTGGACTCTTGGGGGGCAGTTTCCAAAAACAACCCTGTAGCTCCAAAGAGGATACATGTTACAATGATGACTAAGTGAATTTCAGCATATGATTGTCTCATACAGAGACAATTCCTATCAGGATCGTTATTAACTAGAGTGTAGAGATAAAATTAAAACTGTTTTCAAAATTACTGATATTATTTTTTGAACCAATGAAAACAACCATATTTTTGCATGCAGCACCTCAGCACAAATAACATTCATGCATAATGTGTGAGGGGGCTACACAGTTTGAAAAAAACCCGTATAACACACATACTTCATTTGCATAAAAATACTGGGTTGTTTTGGCTTTTAAAAATTATTCTTTTTGGTTCAAAAGATTGTGTTAATACTGTTTTTAAAAACAAGATGATGATTCCCCAAGCTTTGGAAATAGAGAAATGAGAGAGAGAAGGAAAAATTTTAAGTACTACTTTTTATTTTTTCCTTTTCCTGTTTTCCTCCCCCTGCCCCGTTTTTTTTCCTTGCTTATCTGGATGGGTACTATTCAATGTAAAAGTTTAAGATAAATTAATGTGTATAAGATAGATGTCAGTTAATATATTTCATTTTGTGTAGATTGCTACAGTTAGCAGGTTATAAATTTTGAGTAGGAAATTTAAATTCGCTTGTATTTGGAATGTATAGATTTTCTCATTTAGTGTCAAAAAAAAAAAAAAAAAAAAGCCATGGAAAAAAGAGAAGCTAATTTTATTCCTAAACAACTGCTTATTCTCATGTCACATAGAATACATCTTTTGTATCTCTCTGTGCCTCTGGTTTCTCTTCTGTAAAACGGGCTCAAGAATTTAATTGACTTCCTTCATCCTTTTCAAGAACATTTAGGAAAGATACTTTGAAGTCTTTGGAAGACAAAATTCCACCTTGTGTATTTTTTTTGATACTAAGTTGCCTTGTAAGTATCCTATGTATTGTACACAGTGGCATGGTGTAAGATTGTGAATTTTTTTTTTTTATGAGAACAAAAGTTGTTTGCATGCTTTGATGTTGAACTGTAATTTACTATTCATATTTTATCATTTCTGAGCTTGATTCTTTTCCTATCTCACTAGTGTACTGGGAACTGTTCCTCTGGATCTCACTGTTTCTGATGGGGGAGGAGATGGGGCCTACCAATGTTTCTGAGAGACTCTTAGAAATATGCAGAGCAGTTGGTAGTTGGTGTAGGGTGGGTAATTAAGGATATATGCCCCAAGTCTGCAGTATTTGGAGGAGAGCTTCGTTGGCTCAAGAATGGACAACGAACCCTCTGTTCCTCATTTTTAGGTTTTTCTCCACAGATTTTTGCTGCCCTGCATTCTGACTCATGAGTTGGGAGAGTCAGGTAGAACTAATTTTGCTTTTAACCTGTAGAAAGTCTGGTGAAGTGAGATAGTCCCAGCACACTGCCCTTAGACTAATGGTCTCTTTTTCCCTGCTCTACTCTCTTTTCCATTACTAATGAATAAAATGCTGAAGCTGAACGGGCTATTCCTGCACTGAATGCCTAGACTCCATACTTTTCTGAAAGCGTGATTAAAAGTATACATGCAAAAACCTGTAATGAATTCACATAGAAAGAACTTAAAATATATTCCACTATTATTTTCCTTACTAGATTATCTGTTTGCATGAAGGAGTTAATTCTTACTGCCCAAGAACTTTATCAAGTATGTCTCATCATCATCTGGGACTGCTTGTGGGGTAAAGCCCTATACCACTTAAAGAGTATCTGAGCCCTATCTTATTCATGTTTTCTGTGATAAAAATTGTTCTTGTAAAGTAAAAGGAAAGATGATACTTTTCATGTCCAGTTAGTATTAGTGATATTTGCTTGGTAATTTTCAGTCTTGTAGTAGAAGTTTTTCTTAGGTTTCTAAAGTGCTTTATGTTTTATATGACATCTTTTGTCATTCTTTTCCAGAGAATTCGGTCAACAGTGGATGAAAAGGAACAAAAACAACTTCTTATGGATTTGGATGTAGTAATGCGGAGTAGTGATTGCCCATATATTGTTCAGTTTTATGGTGCGCTCTTCAGAGAGGTAGGAATGAGCTGTTCGGGACAAACAGGAACACAGCAATATTAGATGCTAATACGTACATTAGTGATAAGCCAATGTCTCAGTATGTTAATATATAGCCACAATAATCTGTGTGCGAACTTTCACTCTAATTATTCCTTTGGTTAAGGGGACAATCTCCTATTTTTACTTTTTAAAATTTGTGGTCTCGTTTGTGAATTCTATAGTTCTTTCTTCATTTACAAGTACTTTCTGTTCTTTAAGAACCTGACAAATCAGCCGAATGCGGAATATCAACCCTTTTGCTGTAGGTTTAGAGTTGTACCTCTTTTGGCTATGTGTTCTCTCCATCCCTGCCTGCTCAACCCTCCTCACCCTCTTATTTAAAATGAAAAACTTGACTCATTTTTTTCGTCACATTTTTCTACATTTAATGTAAGCATTTACTAGTTCCCACTTAAATGTTTTGATATAGTCCATCAGACATGGAGCTTAGCAGCTACAGTAGAAATTCTTTTTATCTAATTTTGCAATCCAGAGTATTCTGTGCAAAAACCTGAACTCTAAATTCCTTGGTCTCATGGTCATGTTCTTCTTTTGACTTCTGGTTCTTAACCTTTCTTGTTACTTCCATCCCCAAATCTCAGTCCACTTATTATTTCCAGTCATACGGTTGCACACAGATGAGGAGATGAGTTAGGAACAGGGAATCAAACTAGAGCTGTAAATGAATTAGATACTTAAATGTGTCCTGGACCAATTGTTAAATACTTGTGATATTTAGTTCGGAGTAGGATTTTAACTGAGTAGGTAAATACTTGAAATACTCTTAAAAACACCATTCTCATTTTGAAACTGTTCGGCTAAGTTGATGGAATTGATGTATCTGGTAAGAAGCAACCTTCCCTTTTCCTTCTTTTGGGGACTGGATAATAAGAAGAGCAGCCCTGGGATTTGCTGTTGTTACTGGTTTAAAATGACTGTATTGGAATAATTGGGCTGAATGTAACAACAAGATGAACTGTGTGAAGTCATATAAATGGAAAAGGCTCTAGAAGTTAATTAATTCTCCACTTAAGTTTAGAATTATAATTAAAAAAGAAATTTCCCCCCCTGTATTCTTTAAAGGTAGCTCTAGTAACTCTGTATCCCACGATAGAGGTCATTCAGTATTCAAACTAACCTCTGTCAGTTCTCCGTAGTTTCTTTTTACTCCTGTCTTTCCTGAACTTTTCCATGACTTGAACACTCATTTGTATAGCCAGATACATTGAACTTGTTACCTGTCTTCACCATTTCACATCAGCAACATGAATGAATAGCTGAGTGCCTCCTGGGCCAAAATATTATGTCCTGTTACTCTCGTGCTAAGACAGTGAATCTGGAACGTCTTGGTGCATACGAATTTTGCTGTTTTCTTCCTCGGAGTAGGGAACTTAGTCTTCACAGCCACTCAGTCCTCTGTTCACTGTAGTCTTCAGATCTCATAAAGAGCAAGAGTTATTTAGGTGTAAACTTAGGTTGTCTCTCCTTTCTAGAGTCCATAGTCTGTCTTTTCATGCTGCATTAAACCTCTCCGTAAACCCCACTGGCTCTATCTTAACCCTAAATCATCTCCTTGTTGTTGTTAAGTGTCATCGAGTTAGTTCCGTCCCATAGCAACCCTGTATAGGGTTTCCAAGAAGTGGCTGGTGAGTTTGAACCACTGACCTTATGGTTCAAAAATGCTGGGATATATCATTTAATTTTCTTGCTTCTTGACTTAACTATTCATTCAAGTAATATTTAAATATGTAGCCCCAGACTCAATAGTACAGAAGACAGAATTTATGAAAGGGAGACTGAATAAGTGCTGCCCATAATTAAGAAAGTCTTAAAACCAGCACAAAAGCTTGGACTAATATTTGAGTTGTATTTGTAGTGGATGTATGAGTGAAATTTGGTTTTATATTTCAGGGACATTGAAGGGACTTAATATAAAGGAGCTCTGGTAGCATAGTGGTTACGAATCGGGCTGCTAACCTCAGGGTCGGCAGTTCGAAACTACCAGCTATTCTGCAGGAGAAAGATGAGGCTTTCTGCTCCTGTAAAGATTTACAGCCTCAGAAATCCTGTACAGGGTCGCTATGAGTCGGAACGACTCCATGGCACATAACAACAACAGCAGTACTAATAGCCGATGCTTGGTCGTGTTCACATACCCTAGTGTCCCAGCCGTCATTGTGGCTTAGGTGTTAATACCCACTTTTCCAAAGAGGAAGCTGAGATTCTGAGAACTAACCTGGCCAATCACATGGCAAATAAGTGGCAGAGACAGGACTCCGACAACAAAACTCCGCTCTGTCATTGTACTACAAGTGGTCTCAGGGCACAGAAAGCAGCCACTTTTTTTAACATTGGGAATTTTGAGCCTGATCAGGTGAAGGGTCTGGACCTGCACGGTGCAGTTGTATAAAGTCACAAACTGCATGCACCGATTAGACATGAGTATACATCCACTCCCAACTCTTAGAATGCAAGAATAGGAAACTTAAAAAAATAAAACATGGAGTTTTAGAAAAGTAGAATGTTAACCTCTAAAGGATGAATATAGGCAAAATATGCATCCTGAAGAGGCGGAGGGAACCTTTTTACTGCTAAATTTGTAACATAATTCACTGGCCATAAAAAATTAAAAAGTAGCTGCTCTATTTGGTCAAACATTTAATTAACTCACCCCTAATGTGATGTCTTGGAGTCCTGGTGTGACGCTGTGGGCTCATGTTTCAGACTGCAGAGTTGATGGAACTGCAAGGTTGCTGGTTCAAGCTCACCAGCTGCTCCTTGGAAACCCAATACAGGGTCGCTATGGGTTGGAATCAACTCGATGGCACTTCACAACAACAACAACAAGCTTTTAGTAGAAGCTTATTGTGGTTTGAAATTGTATTTTCCTAACTGCCAGCATTCTATGTATGTAGTTGATCCTCATTATGTGTGCATTGGCAGTTCTCTAAAAATACTTAGGTATCTTTTGCAGTCATTGACTGAAAATTCCCAATTGGATAGAATAAGCCTAGTTTGCTATGTGGTAATTCAATGTTAACAGGTACTTTATAGAGTATAACAAGCATGAATAATAAAAATTGTTGTAAGGTGTCTGTTTAAATCTTTCGTTCATTTGAAATAATTGGTTGTTTTTTTTTCTTGAGTTTTGAAAGTTTTAAAACAAGTTTATTACCACATATGTGAATTACAGATGTTTCTTCCAAGTCGGGGCCTTGTCTTTTTATTCTCTTAAATGTTGCTGTTTTAAAATTTTTTCATTATAAATTGAGTGGAGGTTTACAGACCAGATCATCAGTTTTACATTCAACAAATCACACACTTTGTTTAATCTCAGTGATCGTGATTTTGTTATTGTATCTGAAGAAGTTCCTGCCTAATCAAAGTCTCTGGGGCTTTTCTGTTACACTTTCTTTTTGAAGATTTCTATGTTTAGTTTTACACTTACATCTATGAGATGTCTTGGTGAGAAGTATGGGTTGATGTGTTTTTGTTTTTGTTTTTTTTTTGCCTATGAGTATCTTTTATACCGTTCTCAGAAATGAATGGTTCTCACATAAATTTTTCTATTTTTGGACTACACAGCCTGCTCTATTACTCTGTTTGTCTGTATTAATGTGTCCTGAGTACTCATTTTTAATACATAGTCCTCAGTTAAAGTAGTGTTAGTCCATAAACTTGGTTTTGCATTTTACAAGTTTGGGCTCGTTTTAAAAACAAAATAAAGACAGAACAACAAACAAACCTCCTGCCACTGAGTAGCTTCTGAGTGGTGGCTGTGTACAGGACAGAGCAGAACTGCTCACTCCACAGGGTTCCTTCTGAGTCCTGGCAGTCTTTCTTATAGGGCAGAGGAGACCTGCTCGCTCCACAGGGTTTCTAAGGCTGTAGCTCTTTAGGGCAGCAGACTGCCTCATCTTTCTCCTAAAGAGTGACTTGTGGGCTTTAACTAAACTTCACATTACCAGCCCAGCGCTTAACTCACTGTGCCATCGTTGACTCATTTGCTATAATTTAGTGCCCTGGAGTTGGTTCCGACTCACAGCGACACTCTCTGCACAACAGAAATGAAAAACTGCCTGGTCTTGTGCCATCTTCACAGTTGTTATGTGTGAGTCCCTTGTTGCTGCCAGTGTCAGCCCATCTCCTCTTTTTCTTGATCCTCCACTTGACCAAACAAGCTGCCCTCCTCCAGGGTCCGATCATGCCTGACAACGTGTACAACGAGCACGAATGATGAAGTTTTGCTGTCCTTGCATTCTGCCAGTACTTCTTCCAAAGCAGATTTGTTTGATACTTTCCATATTCTTTGCCAGCACTATAATTCAATTGTATCAACTCTTCTAAGATCTTCCTTAGTCATGTACAACTTTCACATACTATGAGGCAATTGAAAAACCCTGGCTTGGACTGGGCACACCATAGTTCTCAAAGTGACATCTTTGCACTTGAACACTTTACAGAGACCTTGTACAGAAGGGTTGTGTAACGCAGTACGTCTTTTGTATTCTTGACTGCTGCATCCATGAGCATTGACAGTGGATCCAAGCAAAAGGAAGTCTAACAACTTCATCTTTTCTCTGTTTGTTGTTGTTGCTATGTGCCGTGGAGTCGGTTCCAACTCATAGCGACCCTGTACAGGGTTTCCTAGGCTGTAAATCTTTATGGGAGCAGAAAGCCTTATTTTTCTCCCGTGGAACAGCTGGTAGTTTCGAACTGCTGACCTTGCGATTCACAGCCCCCTTCGTAACCACTATGCTTCCAGAGCTCCTTAGGACAATGTTATTTATTACTTCACTTGTGAGGATTTTTTTTTTTTTTTTTTTTTTGACACATTGAGGTGCAATCCATAATGAAGGCTGTAGTTTTTGATCTTCTTCAGTAAGAATTCAAGTCCTCTTTGTTTCCAGAAAGCAAGGCTGTATCATCTGTATATCACAGGTTGATAATGAATCTTCCTCCAATCTTGATGTTACGTTCGTGTTCATATAATCCATCTTGGCAGATGATATGCTCATCATACAGATTGAGTAAGTATGGTGAAAGAATAAAACCCTAGTGCGTACCTTTCCGGATTTTAAAGCATTCAGTGTCCCTCTTTTCTGGTCAAATGATGGTCTATGTAAATGTTCCTAGTTTTTATTGTGAATTGAGTGATAGTTTACATGGGAGAACATTGGTTTTATACTCACTGTTTCATTGCAATGATTACAGTTTCCTCAGTGCATCATCATTCAACAATATTTGCTTCTATTCCCTTTTTTGGGGGTGGGGTGGGGTGGAAGGTGGGGATGTACAAAAATACTAAGGAATATATAATCATTTAAACAACCAAAGGGTACATTCTGTAAGCCTGCATCTTGGCCACGAGCACCCAGTCCCTCTCTTTCCATGAGTCTAGAGCCCTCAGCGACTCCTTCTCTCCATGTCCTCATCTCTGACTCCATCTCTGGTGTTGTCGCTGCTTCTCTGGATAAGGTCCACATTCCGCTCATGCTCTTCTTCCTTGATGGCCCTAGGGTCCTCTGTTCCTGGAATGTAAGATTAACTAGTCCCCTCTGTTACAAAACTTATATGTTTATAGTTGTGACAGTTGCAATTAACCATGATAACAATTACTATTGAATCATAAGAATCTTATTCCCATCTCCTGTCACCAGACCCATCTAGACAAGATGAAACTATTCAGTGGGGATTCTACCTTCCCCTGCACACTCTGAAACTAAACTCCCTCATTTTAGGTAGTCAGTGTCTAAGTTGCCTGTCCCTATGAACCCTGCATACAGAGGGGATAGGATTGATACTTGGTATGAAGACTCCTTCCCTCTCAGTTGATATTTTGAGCTACTACTTCCATTAGTATAGGTCAAGTTCATCAAATTGTAGCAATTTACACTGTCAACCTTTATTTAAAAAATGTTTTATCATCCTCTAGACAAGTTCTCATCATCAAGCCATCAAAGCTAGGCTGAATGGGTACTACCTACAAGTTTGGATGTTCTTGTGCATCTCCCCTCACTTCATATGCTTCACTCTCAGCTTTAGCCCTCTTTGGCTATGTCCTTGTCCATGGGCTCAGGAGGCCCTAGGTCTCACCGCACTTTGGACCAACCAACCCTTCCTTTTCTTTCTCTCATCTCCAGGTCAACAGGAGTCTATGGAACGTGGTCCTCTCAGCCCGTATTGTCATTCTCTCTCCATTTTTAAATCATAATTTTTAGCACTTTATTTTGTCTTTTCTTATGTTAGCACATTTGATCTTTATCGTAGTCCATGAAGATGGTGGGGCAGTGTCATGTCATAGATGAGTAATTGAGCAGGTCCAGTTTACAGTAGTAGAAAGTAGGAGAGTGTGGCTAACAAGTCAAACCTTTCAGATTCTAAAAGCCTGGGAAAGCCACTTTACTATATCACAGAGTAAGTTTCTGGGCTCCAAAAGGGGATTGGTGGCTGTGCCGCGAAGTCGATTCCAACCCACAACTGCCCTGTATAGGAGTCCTGGTGTGGTGTTGTAGGATATTGCAAGGTCGGTTTGAACTGAAGTGTCAGTGGTTCAAACTTGCCAGCTGCTCCTCAGAAACCATATAGAGGATTGCTGTGCATTGGAACTGACTCAATGGCACATAACAACAACACATCGGGTTTCTGAGCTTGTAAATCTTTACAGGAGCAGAAAGCCTCATCTTTCTTCCACAGAGTGACTGGTGGATTAGAACTACTGACCCTTCGGTTCATAGCCCAGTTTATAATCCATTATGCTATCAGTGCTCATGGAAAAGAGATTATGGAAACAAAATCTCTGAGTATACAGCTAGATCTGTAAATTAGTAATAGCATAAAATACGATTTTTGCCATTATCCTGATGGCTGTTTTCACTTTCCTTATAAGTTGTTTGTTTATAGTCTTTGTTTGTATGCAGATATCATAAAGTCTGTATATAATCTGCATTTCCCAGTTAATCAGTGGAGTACTTCTCAAGGATTGTATGGCTTTAAGCCTACTTTAATTTCAGGCAATCCCTTTAACATGATGTACCACGTCCCCTTTTGTTGGCTTTTTTAGTGGTTTCTGTCTGTCTTTCTCATTGTTCTTATTGTTGGCCTTGTAATTTACGGAATATTTGATTAAGAAAGTCGATTCCCAATCATGGAATGACTTTATCAAAAGGTATTAATATTTATTTCTCTAGTTTTATTACCAGATTGCTTTCGAACAGGCCAAAAGCATATTACAGTGTTGTGTTGGAATGATTAGTGGTAACCGTTGTCCACTCATTTAAGAAATACTGGTTGAGCTCTGGTCTTGGCGGTGCTTTCATTCCAGTAGGGAAGATAAATGACAAACAGTAAATAATGTATTATTTTCTAATGTTTATTTCACTTATAAGATATACGTAATACAAAATCGGACAGAATGAGGGAATGCTAAAACTGGAATGAGTTGCAATGTTAGCTATCTTAGCTTCGGTCTCACTGTGAAGGTGGCATTTGAATGAACAAGGACTTGAAGCACTGGGTTTACTTTATGTAGTTTTCCTTTCTTAATTTAAGAAGATGATCTGATATATCGAGGTTGTTACTATTGTTTGCTTTTCTTACTAGTGAGAATGAACTGGTTTCCACATACTTTTATGTTCACTTATGGCAAAAGTTGAATTAAAAAAAGCACAAAGCTTGTTATGAAAGTCTGTCCTGGGCATTACTATTCAGAGTGGGGAACACTGGTTTGAAACACTGTCTGCATTTCACCACGAGAGGAGTTTTCTGCCCAGGGCTTCCATAAAAATAAAGGTGATTTTAAAAAGCAAGGATCTGATTGTTTTCTGTATTATGTAAAGGCAAGGTGGTATCTGATTTAGAGATGTCTGAGAATGACAGATGTTTGTTATTTTACAGGGTGACTGTTGGATCTGTATGGAACTCATGTCTACCTCGTTTGATAAGTTTTACAAATATGTATATAGTGTATTAGATGATGTTATTCCAGAAGAAATTTTAGGAAAAATCACTTTAGCAGTAAGTGCTTGTTTTTATTACTCGTATTCCAACATTATGCTACATTGTTGATTCTGTATATGATGATATGAAGCTACTGCATGTCCTTCACAGAATGTTACTGAGCTTCTGGAAGATCATTTGTAGAAGGAAGGAGACTGATTCACTTCTCGGAGATGACTAACACAGTTGGTCATAAGAGCACTCTTAATAACGTGGTCTGTCTAGATAATTGTTGGCACTTAATGTGCTTTTCATTCAAATCACAGGGAATCAAAACAGATGACACTATATACATAAGACTAGAAAAAATAATTTTCCGTTTATTTTTTTCTTTTGGCTCTTGACTATCTTCAGATCGGTTCTATTAACACAATTATCCTAGATTAATCAGAGTAGTAGTAGTCCTGCAGACCCTTCATGAAAGCTCTTGGACAAACCTTTCTTATGGCTTAAAATCTGAAATGTTCGGACTAAACTATTTAAATTGTTTACTAGCAATTTCAGGAGCCAGAGTTACTACTAATACGAACCACTTACTTTACCGGTGCACCAATAAGAAAAGAGACACTCTTGCTTATGTGTTTATAGTTGTGAAAATGAACCTTACCATAACTCTTTTTCAACTTGTTTTGAAGTTTTTAATTGACAAAGATTGCTTATAATTAAAAAAAAAAAAAGTTAAAAGGCCATTTTTCTTTTGTTGGGTAAAATTAATAAAAATCTCAGGATCCCCTGGGAATTTAAGCTCATGTTATTGCCTGATTTAGTTGATGTTTAAACTAAATCCTAATAGAAAGTTATGAAATAGATTTTCTGGCTGCAGGTGGTTTTCTGTTTCTCCTTCTTTAAGTCTTCTACCTCCCTCTATTCACTTTAGTCATTAAAGGTTAATAAGACTGGTGATAATTATAGACACTTTCTGAACTGTATTTTAGTTGCAAGAGATATGTATATTTATTTAGTTTGTGTGCATGTGTTTGTATTAAGTGAAATTTTTGATTGGCTAAGGTTGTCACTAACTACAATCTCATCTTAATTAATGCTTAAATTTATGAGCTAAAATATAAGGTGTACTCATTCATATAATTTTATGAAAATAGGTGAGTTATATTATTCTTTGGTGATGTTATTGTTGCTGTAAGTGCCATGCAGTTGGTTCTGACTCACAACGACTCCATACAGAGTTTCTAAGGAGCAGCTAGTGGATTTGAACTGCTGACCTTTTGGTTTGCAGTCGGTGCCGATCTTGCCAGTGCCACATAAGGAGTCCACTGTTTTGACAGATATTTGAAATTTTATCTTGATCTGTTTAACCACTTCTCGTCATTATTATTAAGCCCATGAATATTTTAGAATTTGTTGGTATTCGTTGCAGTTTTAAAAAGATAGCAGAATCATGACTGTAGCTAATATTTGTTTATTTGTTTGTATCAGGGCATGGTCTTAGGATATTTAGTCATCGTAGTCCTGCCAGTTATGAGCACTATAACTCCCTTTTTATGGATGATAAATGTGAAGTCTGGAGAGATTCGTAATTAATGTGCTTTTGAAGTTCATACACTTGAAAGTGGTAAATGATGTAAGTCCAGGCAGGCATAGCCCAGAACCTTGCTCTGACCACTGTACTTACAGGGTGGTCATGAAGTCAGAAACCAAAAATAAAATGGTTTCATCATCTATTTCAGTATGTGTAATATGCTCAAGTCATTTATTACATAATTTGCATGTGTTTCCTGCTTTGGTAATTACCATGTATTACAAGTATTAACAACATTTCAAATTAAGATCATCAATTACTGATATGCAAATTCAAACTGAAGCTGAAGAAAATTAAAACAAGTCCACGAAAGCCAAAATATGACATTGAATATATCCCACATGAATTTAGAGATCATCTGAAGAACAGAGTTGATACATTAAACATTAAAGCCCGAAGACCAGAAGAGTTGTGGGAAGACGTCAAGAACATCATACGTGAAGAGAGCAAAAAGTCATTAAGAAGACAAGAAAGAAGGAAAAAGTCAAAATGGATGTCAGAGGAGACTCTGAAACATACTCTCCAGCATAGAAATGTTAAAGCAAATGGAAGAAATGAGGAGGTCCAAGAGCTGAATAGAACATTCCAAAGAGCAGCTCGAGAAGATAAAGCCAAATACTTATAATAAAATGTGCAAAGATTTGGAATCAGAAAAACAAGAAGGAAGAACACGGTTAGCATTTCTCAAGCTGGGGGAACTGAAGAAAAAAATTCAAGCCTCGATTTTCGTTATTGAAAGATTCTTTGGGCAAATTATTGAATGATGCAGAAGGCATCAAGAGAAGATGGAAGGAATACACAGAGTCATTGTACCAAAAGGAAATGGTTAATGTTCAACCATTTCAAGAGGTACCATATGATCAAGAGCCATTGATACTCAGGGAGCAAGTCCAAAGTGCATTTAAGGAATTGGCAAAGGAAATGATGGAATAAAAATTGAAATATCTCAAGAAAGTGAGGTGTCACAAGAGGCACTCACTCATCTCTGCCAGGAAATTTGGAAGACAGCTATCTGGCCGACTGATTGGAAGAGATCCATATTTGTTCCCATTCCAAAGAGAGGTGACCCAACGGAATGCGGAAATCATCGGACAATCTCTTTGATATGTCATGTGAGTAAAGTTTTGCTAAAGGTAATACAGAAACGGCTACAATCATATAATAACAGAGAACTTCCAGAGGTTCAAGCTCGATTCAGAAGAGGCCGTGGAACAAGAGATATCATTGCTGATGTCCGATGAATCTTGGCTGAAAGCAGAGAATATCAGAAAGATTTTAACCTATGCTTTATTGACTATGCAGAGGCTTTTGATTGTGTGGATCATGACAAGCTATGGACAACATTGCGAAGTATGAGTATTCCAGAACACTTAATTGTACTTCTGAGAAATCTGTACCTGGACCAAGAGGCAGTTGTTCGAACAGAGCATGGGAACACTGAATGTTTTAAAATTGGGAAAGGAGTGCAACAAGGTTGTGTTCTTTCAACATACTTATTCAACCTGTATGCTGAGCAAATAATACGAGAAGCTGGGTTCTATGAAGAAAAACGTGGCGTCAGAATTGGAGGAAGACTCATTAACAACCTGCGATATGCAGATGATACAACCTTGCTTGCTGATAGTGAAGAAGACTTAAAACATTGACTGAAGAAGATCAAAGAGCAAAGCCTTTGGTATGGATTACATCTCAATGTCAAGAAAACAAAAATCCTCACCACTGGACGAATAAGCAACATTCTTATCAACGGAGAAAAGATTGACGTTGTCAAGGACTTCATTCTTCTTGGATCAACTATCAACACTCGCGGAAGCAGCAGTCAAAAAATTAAAGGATGTATTGCATTAGGCAAATCTGCTGCACAGGAACTTTTTAAAGTGTTGAAGAGCAAAGATGTCAGTTTGAGGACTAAGGTGCGCCTGATCAAGCCATGGTATTTTTAATAACCTCATATGGATGCGAAAGCTGGACAGTGAATAAGGAAGATCGTAGAAGAGTTGATACCTTTGAGTTTGTGGTGGTGGAGGAGAATATTGAAAGTGCCATGGACTGCCAAAAGAGCCAATAGATCCATTTTGGAAGAAGTGCAGCCAGAGTGCTCCTTGGAGGCCAGCATGGCTAAACTTCGTCTCTCGTACTTTGGACATATTGTCAGAAGGGAACAGTCGCTGAAGAAGGATATCATGCTTGGTAAAATGAAGCCTCAAGAGAAAAAGAGGAAGACCCCCAACGAGATGGATTGGCCAGGTGGCAATCATTGATGGCGTCAAGTGTGGCAGCGGTAGTGAGGTTGGCCCAGGATTGGACATTGTTTCGTTCTGCTGTGCATGGAGTCGCTATGTGTCGGTTCTGACTCGATGGCACCTGACAACAACAACAACAACAACAACAACAACAACAATGATCCTACTACTTCATAACTCAGTGAACACACAAGCATGGCTGTATTTGTAGGAGTCATTTATGGTTTGAGACAGTCATTTGTGTGTTTGCTTCCTTTCTGCTGCTACCCAGCAGCAGGATGACACAGAGCCTTCTGTCCTGAGTACCCTCTTGCTTAGTCTCTCTTTTAGTTGGAATTTTGGAAATGTCCTCCCTTTCTGAAGACGTCTCTGCTTTCTGGTCTTGAGTGTGATTTAGCAGGATAAATTCTGGATTAGTCCATGATATCAGCTACTGGCTAAGCAGAGACTTTTCTGCAAAAATTACTTTGAAGGTTTAGTACCTGGTGAGAATGAACGGTTGCGAGGAATTGAGTATTGGGGGGAATACATTTATTAAAGTTACTCTTGATGACAGAGCCAGCTCATTGATCTTTCTTGTTCTAAATAATTTTATTCTTACAAGGGCTGCAGAAACAAAAAAGCATGCAACTTTTAATGATGACTTAGTAAACAAATTATAAGTTACAGTTTATAATTAGCTTAGTTGCCACATGAAGATAAGTAAGTTATTAGATCCAGAGTCATCATTTAATATCTTCTGTTAGCATAAAGAAGGAGCTCTGGTAAAGTAGGGGTTACAAATTGGTCTGCTAACCGCAAGATCAGCAGTTCGAAACTACCAGCTTTTCTGAGGGAGAAAGATGAGGCTTTCTGCTCCTATAAAGATTTACAGCCTCAGAAACCCTGCAAAGGGTCACTATGAGTCGGAACTTACTCCACAGTTACTTAACAACAACATTAGTATAAAGAATGATTGACAAAATATTAAAATGCTAATTTTCAAATCCCACACACAGCTGATTGTGTATAATTATGATAAAGGTTTGTGCAATTTGACTGAAAAAGAAGCTGATTGTTTATCCCAAGTTTGTTTTTTCTCTTTAGACTGTGAAGGCACTAAACCACTTAAAAGAAAACTTGAAAATCATTCACAGAGGTAGGTATGGGGTTTTTCTTATAGAATAGAATTAGATGAAAATATGAAAAGTGTAGTATCATGATAAAATTTTTCTTAAGTTGTTTTGCTTAAAAAAAAAAAAAGTATTTCTAGGAAAATTAACTTGTATATTCTAAAACTGTGTTGTGTTATTAATTAAATTTTTTCCCCTTAGGAATTCTATAGATTTGAACTTAACATATTATTGGCATGTTTGGCATCAAAACTAAAGTGGATTATTCTGTAGTTAAAAAATATTTACTCATTTCCTTAAAAGGCAGTTAATGTCTCTCCATGTATAAGTAGAGCCATAGTGTGGCATTGCAGGAAAAATATGCTGCTGGACCACAAGGTCAGTTTGAACTGCAAGATTGACAGTTCAAACCCACCAGCTGTATGCAGGGGTCGCTGTGAGTTGGAACCAACTTGGCGGCACTTAACAACAGCAGCATGTGTAAGTAAGTCACCACAGTGGGCCTTTGGGCCTTGAGAGAATAATGGATACTGCTCTAGAGCACTTTAATAACATGGGACTTTAATGACATGGGACTGTCATTTTCAGTTGTTTCTTTTTACTTCGTTGTTGTTAAGTGCCATTGAATCCGTTCCAACCCAGAGAGACCCTGTATAGGATTTCCAAGGAGCGGCTGGGTGAGCTTGAACCACTGACCTTGCTGTTCAAACCGACTTCGCAGTCCAGCGCATTAACAGTGGCACACCAGGACTCTTTACTTTAGAAAATGCTTATGTAAATGTAAATGTTATCCAGTGAGATTCCTATAAACATGGTTAATTGTGAAAACATGATCTTGACTTTACTAGACATGGATCTAGATTTAAACATTTGATGTAGATCTCATGAAGAGCAAGTTTAGAAAAGCAGTAACACCTTGGGTATTTTGAATTTAATTTAGTAAATAGATGATTTTGCTCTCTTCATTTGTATGCTAGACTCAGGGTAGTGAAGTGATGGCTTTGAAGATGTGCACAGGGTCACCCCCCTTAGTAAATTCTGATGGAAAATTTTAATGTGCTCTGTGATGGTATGTGATTCCACCTAACAATACATGGGATAGATGGAAACGATGAAATTTAGAGAAAGGAGAAACGTTGAATTTTATGAAACAGTTTCTGGTGGTTAAAGTAGTTAATTATACTTGTAAGTCCATAATTGGGCATTTACCTAAATCACTGACTTTGGGCATTGAGATGGAACTGTTAAAATTAGTTAACCTTGAATATCACAATGTTTGATTCCATTTTACCTTTTTCTTTATGGATGGAAGCCTGACAACAACGCTTGGTAAAAATAACGCTTTGTTCTTCTTGTAGTTCACGTTGCTTTTACTTTAGGCTTTTCCCTCCTCTTTTAGTCGTGTTTATGAGAGTGTCATCTTAGAGCATTTGACCTCATTAATCACGGTAGAGAACTAACATATACTACCTGGGAGTAGTTGAGTAAAAGAAAATGTCTTTGAAGTTTGTTTTTTCTGTTACACAGTAAATGAGCTTATAAATGTCTTTGGCACTTTGGATCCACTGGAACATTTTACCTGTCATAATGAGTCCAAAGGTGTAGAGTGCCTTCAAGCACAAAATAGTAAGGGCACCAGCTTCATTCTCTTGGTTCTGCCCTCTTTAATAAGTTGGTGCCATTCTCAGGAGAGTGACTGTAGTCCCAAGTGTTACATCTAAATGTGACAACCTCCTGAAGAAGACGCTGTATCTTTATCTGCGCCTCTCTTCAGAGCCGGGGAGCTTTTCCTGCAGGTCTCTAATGCTGCCTGTGGTCTAGAGCCATGAGACTGACACTGAAAGGGATCCAAGGACTAAGATAATTATGGATAAGGGAATGAATGAGTGTGAGAAGGGGAGAGTTGACCAAACAGTTGGTCAGCATATGTAGGCAATAGATTTATTACTAGTGAGGAAAAGGTATTAGGCATGTCAATGTAGGGAATAGTTCCACTGGAGTTTAAAACCTAATGAAGGAAATGGAATGACGTTGGGTTTCTCAGTTTTGTGGGAAAGCCCACCCACTCTGAAACTGGTAGATAAGAATCTGTCTGCAAAAGGTTGGGTGGGAGAAACTGGCTGAATCCATCCAAGATAAGACATTTCTCTCAGAAAAATTGACTTCATTTATTGATTGCAAATACTATTTGGGTACTGTATTACATGTTTGAATCTTCACATCTCTTTGCCATAGGAATTATTATCCCATTTTGTAGCTGAGCAAACTGATTGCTAAGAGAAATGAAGTAGCTTGCCCAAGTCACATTGCTTTTCAGACCCAGATTTTGAACCTTGTTTTTCTGATCCAAAAGATAAATGAATGGTCTTTTGGCTGTACTGCATTGGATATTTTACTAAGTTAGTAAGACTACTCTAACTAAATTATATTTTCCTAGTTTGCATATTTTATATTTTGATTTGTACCTCTGACACTTACTGTAAAATAGTATAGTTTGTTTTCATGGCTTAAATTCATAATTCGTCATATTTTCTTTCCTTTTTTTTTTTAACTTGTAAAGTGAGTAAAGATTTATAGAGCAGATAAATTAGTTTTACATTCAGTAAATCATGTACTTTGCTCCATTACAATGATTGCAATCCCCTCCATGTGCCAAAAGCTAACAGGAGTTCTCTTTCCACTTTAACTGTTGCATTCCTCCCTGTATCTCCGATACCTTCAATTTTTTCTCTGCCCAACCTCCCTCTTGTTGTATATTGTCTACCCTCTAGCCCATGGATAATTTTACCTTCCCCCGTAACCAAATTAGACTGTTTATTTTATTAAGAAAACTTTTTCGTAGCTTTGTACTGATCTTATATAATGTTTGTCCTTTTGTGATTGACTAATTTCACTTAGCACAATACCCTCCAGGTTCATCTGTGTTGTGAGGGTTTTGCAGAGTCATTGCTATTCTTCACCGTTGTGTATTACACACTGTGTGTAAGTACTAAAGTTGTTTAACTGGTCTTCAGTTGATAGGCTGTCTCCATCTTTTTGATATGTCTCAGGTACGTAGCATATTGAAAGAGCTTATTTTCTTATCTAGTCTTCGTTGTCTCTTGACTGGCACATTTAATTCATTTACATTAATTATAATTATTGATAGGTATAAATTGGTTGCTGTCATTTTTCTGTGCCTTATTTTGTAGTGCTGCTGCTGGTATCTTTGTTTCACACAATTTTCTGTACTGAATTTATTTTGTTTATGGGTTTTGTTTTTGTTTTCATTTCTGTTGTGTTAATGTTTGCTAAATCTTTCTGATTTTCCTCTTTTTATTTTAATTTGCAGGTGTATTAATTTTCTTAAAGGTTATTCTTTAGTTTATGATTTCTTTTCTCTGTTAAAACAGTCTGTTTTATCTTGATATCTACTTGACTTCCTTGCCATTAAGAAGTTCTGTATCTAGTCCCTCTTTTTACTTTGTAATTGACATCATTATAAATTGATATCCCGGGGTCCCTGCCTTCAGTCTTGTAGGTTTGTTCCTGGTGTGTCGCTGTACGATAAAGCACTGGACTGCAAGGTGAGTTTGAACCACAAGGTCGGTGGTTCAAACTCACCAGCTGCTCTTCAGAAACCCTGTACAGGGTTGTTATGAGTCAGAACTGACTCAACAGCACTTAACAGCAACAACATCTGGATTGAGTTCTGGGTGGTGGTGTCATGTATGGTAATCTCAGGTTGTTGTCAGCTGTTACTGGTTCTCAGTGCAAAGTATACACTTTAGTATTTTTTGTAAAGGTGGTCTGGTTATTACACATTCCTTTAATTTCTGTTTCTCAAGAAATGTCTTAATTTTGCTGTCATATTTGAGAGACAGCTTTGTTGGGTATGATTCTTGGTTGGTAATTTTTTTTTCTTTCAGGGTTTTGTGTATGCCATCCCATTGCCTTCTTGCTGCATGGTTTCTCCTGTGAAATTTCAGAGCGTAGAATGTAAAACTTATGGTGATAAACTTTTCCTCTTCTCGATTCTATGCTTAAACATTCAGAAAATGTTTTCTCATGAACAATAGAGGAAAAAACACTTAGTTTTGTCTGTTTTCTAAGTAGTTGAGAAAATCAACATCTATTCATTTCATCTGGATTATTAGGACGCTGCTCATAAAATGATTTTGCAGTTAGCATTGACACAATTCTAGTCATTGAAGTTGCTTGTTCAAAACATGAATGGTGTTGCTTTGAAGTCTTTTAGACTATAACTCATTTGATTGAGTACATGTTGACTGAATGCACCTATCTCTTACAGATATCAAACCTTCCAATATTCTTCTGGACAGAAGTGGGAATATTAAACTCTGTGACTTTGGCATCAGTGGACAGCTCGTGGACTCCATTGCCAAGACAAGAGATGCTGGTTGTAGGCCATACATGGCAGTAAGTGAAAAGCCTGCGCTTTCTGGCTTGAGAGTCAGTGCACAGAGAACCTGTGTGGCCTTCGCTGCTACACTTCTGAGGAATCTGCTGTTGGGCACAGGTTCACCATTCTCAACTAGTTCCCTTGGCCCTAAAGACCAAGCTCAAGGAGCTTCTCTGTACCACGTCTCTAAATTATCCCACTGAGATCCTATCGTGTTCATGGTCTTACTGTGTTTTCCTATTTACCACTTAGCCTTTGTTGTCTTCTCTAATTATTATGATGATAACTGTTATTATTTTATTATTATGTTCAATCCATCTCATCATCCAAGTGGTAAATTCTCAGAAGGCTTCTTGTGTTTCAGCAGCATTGAATGCAGTCTGGACTGGAGTAGATATCAGTACATGTTGATACTATGTCTTAGGCCACTCAATAGTGTTATTTCTGATTAGAGGAGTGTGAAATTGCTCTTGTGAAATTGTTCCTTGTGGAACTCAATATGTCTTACAGAGTCGAAGCTATGTTTTGAATGTTATTTTTTGGTGCTGTAGGGTAAACCCTGGAGTGCTAACCACAAGTTCAGTGATTCAAACCCACCAACTGCTCCTTGGAAACCCTCTACAGGGTCTCTGAGATGGAACTGACTGGACAACACTTAACAACAGCAACAACCACAAGCACTTTGACAAGTGCAGGGGTAGACTCCTCAGGTATTCCCACTCTGAGGCCTCAGTCTCATCTACCCCTGGTAGATGCATTGCCCCTGTAGTCTGGATTGTGATCCATATTTGAATTGCAAGTTTAATACCTATGTTTTAAGCAGTTTTCCTTGGTGTCGGCATCATTGCTGTAATGTGGCCATGATTCTGGGGGGACCAGTATATTGCTCTAAATGGTGATAATTGAGGTTTCCAGTTGTGAGGCATTCTTGCCAACAGTTTCTGTTTAAACTTTATAGATGTTTTGAAGCCACAGGTTAGCGTAAAATTAAAGAAAATGTTTCATGGGTTAGATTATTTCCGGAATTTTATGCTTCTCACTTAGTTCAGTAAACAAATAGAGAAGTAAGAAGAGTCATAGTCTGTATATTATACAGCTTTTCTGCCCTGTTTAAGGGAGCTCTGGGATCAGCCCTCTATCTGTGTCTGTAGGGTAACCATAAAATTTGCAGAAACAGCCCCCCAGCTGCAGTGCGGGAGAAAGATGAAGGATTTTGCGCCCATAAAGACTCACTCCCTCAGAAACTTTGTACATGCTCTACTGTGAGTCAAAAATGACTTGACAGCATACAACAACAACAACTTTGGTTAAGGATGGGTAGGTTTAGCAGTACAACAAATACTACACTTGTTGAAAAAAAAAAAATGAAATTTTTTTCTTGCATTATTTGAAAGTAAATTTTATTTAATAAGTGTTTTTCCGCTAATCTATTCATCATTTATCTTTAAATAATGAAAGAAATAAAGCTACATATATTATTATCTTTAACTAATGAAAAAAAAATGCTGCATATATTATTAACTCCTCAAAGCATAATGGACCATGATGACATAAGTGGAGCAAAGCGTTCAGGACCCTCATTTGTCGACGGGTCACAATTCAAAATGAGAAGAAACAGCTGCAAGCATCCATTAATAATTGGAATGGGAATGTACCAAGTATGAATCTTGTTATGTGCTGTCCAGTCGATTCCGACCCATAGCAACACTGTATAGGGTTTCCAAGGAGCAGCTGGTGAGCTTGAACCGCGAAACTTGCAGTTCAAAAATGGCTTTGCAGTCTGGCGCGTTTAACCCACAGCACCACACCAGGACTCCAGTATGAATCTAGGGGTATTAAAAATCATCAGAAATGAAATACAGTATATAAAGATTGATATCCTAGTCATTAATGACCTAAAATGAACTGGTATTGACCATTTTCATCCAACAGTGATATGGTTTACTATGCCTGGAATGACATACTGAAGAGGAGAGATGTCATGTTCATTGTTAAAAAGAGCATTTCAAGGTCTATCTTATATGCTATCTGTGATAGGATAATATCCATATGCCTACAAAGAAGGCCAGCTAATACTACTCTTAATCAAATGTACTCACCTACCACTAAAGCCAGTGAAATTGAAGAATTCTACCAAAGTCTGCCATTGAGAAAAAGCGGTTTGAAATTGATCAAATATGCAATCAAGATACATCAATAATTACTGGGAATTGGAATGCCAAAAGTTGGCAACAAACAGGAAGGATCAATAGTTGGAAAATATAACCTTGGTGATGGAACCCATGCTGGAGACCACATGATAGAATTTTGTAAGACTAGCAACTTATTCATTGCAAATGCCTGTTTGTTTTTTTTTTTGGGGATATGAAAACAACATGTCTTTATATTTTAGTTTTAGAGGGAATTTCTAACACAAAGGTGGAAAGCATACAATCTGATTATCTTGAATTAACTTTTTCTTTTCCTTTGTAGTAAGTTTCTTGTGTCCTTTTTTTAAATTAAAAACAATTTTTTTTCTTAAATGTTTTATTGTGAATTATGTGACAGTTTACATGGGAGAACGTTAATTTTACATTCATTCTATCGTGTATCGTCTCATTGCCATGGTTACAATCCCCTCCATGCATCATCAATCAACCAAAGGGTATACACTGCAAGCCTGCCCGCCTCCCGCCCCGTACATAGCCCCTCTCCCTCTCTGTGTCTAAAGTCCCCAGCTGCTCCATCTCTCCATGTTGTCATCTCTGCCTCCATCTCTGGCATCACTGCTTCTCTGGGTAGGGTCCCGCTCTCTGCTCTTCTCACTTGATGGTCCTAGGGACTTCCGCTCCTAGACTGAGAAGTTAATCACTCCCCTCCTTGCTATAAAACGTCTACCTTTACATTTCCAACCCTCACAATCAGTCCTGATAACAATTATTCACTATTGTATCACAAGAGACCCATCTGCATTTCATTGCATCAGCCCCGCCTAGACAGATTGAATACTACTCACTGGAGATTCTACCTTCTTCCAGGCGCTCTGGATCTAGGTTCCCTCTTGAAAGTCTGTAAGCCAGTCACTTCTTGCCTTTGTAGCCCCCCACTCCCCATTTTGGGTAGCCAATGTCCAAGCTGCCTATCCCTGTCTACTCTGTGTGTGGAGGGGGTGGGAATGATTCTTGCTGTAAGGACTTGTTCCCTCTTTTGAGCTACTGCTTCCATAGGTGTAGGTCAAGTTCATCAAATTGTATGAGAATACTTTTTTTCCCCTCTTCTTTTTACTTCTGGTTGAGCTCTGATCATCCAATCATTGAAGCCAGGTCAAGTGGGTATTATCTGCAAGTGTGGGTGTTCGTATGCATATGCCCTCTCTTCTTATCACCTTGACGCTTCACTCTCCACTCTAGTCCTCTGTGGCTATGTCACTGACTCTGGGCCCAAGAGTCCCCAGGTCTTACCACACTGCTGGTCAACCAGGTCTTCACCCGTGTTCACAGAAGTCTATTGGACATTGTAGGGCTTAGCTCACCACTTCATTGCTGTTTTTCCCTCACTTCCCCTTATCAGTGTCAAGTGTGGCCACCAATCAGAGCGTGTATTCCCATTGAGTCTTAGTCTTGGAAGGGGGTTTGCACTGAGGGGACCCGACCACTTGCCTTGATGTTTCCTGGGCAAGCAAGTTGCTTGTTCTTGTAGTAACAGTTGGTCTGCCTATGTTGTTTTATATTTTTCCTGTAGGTATTTTCTTTCAAGAAGTATCTTCTGTTCTTCTAGCCACTCCAGGCTGGTCTGCTTGTCCTTTCAAATGCGAATTTCCCATCTCTGGAGATCTGGATGTGGTTCAGGTTTCCGCCTATAGTCTTACGTATTGCAGAGGCTCCGCAGGAAGGCTCCTTCACTGGGCATGTTGTAACCCCATTTTAGGTATTCCAATCAGTTATAGGCAGAAGACGGACTTATAAGCTTTCTATGGTGATGCTTTTCGCTATTCCTTTCTCTCCCCCTCCAGTGTGTATTTTATAATATAATGCAAGGAAAACGAAGGCAAATACCTGTTTTTAATAACATAAAAGGCGACTATACACATGGACCTCATCAGAGGGAATAGACAACAATCAAATTAACTCTGCAGATGAAATGGTTGGGGACTCTAGACAAAGGGAGGGAGAAAGGCTGTGTGCTGGTGGCCCGGGGGGGCAGGCTTGCAGGGTATGCCCTTTGGTTGTTTGAATGATTATATATTCCTGAGTGCTTCAGTGTACATCCCAAAAAAATAAACAGAGGGAATGGAAGCAAATGATGATGCAGGGTGGGGATTGTAATCATTGCAATGAAATGAAATACGATAGGATGGGTGTAAAGCTGATGTCCTCCCACGTAAACTATCACTCAAATCACAATAAAAACTTAAAAGAAAAAAGTCTGCAAAAGGCATTTAATTGTATGGCTCATAACCAACTATGGATAACATTGTGAAGAATGGGTATTCTAGAGCATTCCATTGCACTCAGTAGGAACCTGTACATACATAGACCAAGAGGCCGTCATTTGAACAGAACATGAGGATACTGAATGGTTTAAAGTCAGGAAAGGTGTACATCAGGGTTGTATTCTTTCTCCATACTTATTCAATCTTTAGGCTAAGCAAATAATCTGATGAGAAGCTGGATTATATGAAGAAGAATGTGTCATCAGGTTTGCAGGAAAATTCATTAACAACTTGCGATATGCAGATGATACAACGTTACTTGCTGAAATTGAAGAGGACTTAAATATTTACTGATGAAGAGCAAAGACCAGACATTTGACATGGGTTGTTCCTCAAATGTAAAGAACACAAAAATCCTCAACAGTGGACCAGTAAATAACATCATGATAAACAGAGAACAGTTTGAAGTTGGTGTTTTTCCTTGGGTCAGCCATCAACACTCATGGAAGCAGCAATCAAGAAATTAAATGATGTGTTGTATTAGGCAAATCTGCTGCACAAGACTTCTTTAAAGTGTTGACGAGCAAAGGTGTCAGTCTGAGGACT